GCTCTTCCGTCTCTCGCAATCCCATTTTCTCCCGCCTTTCTCTCTTACTCCCATTCGTTTTCTCTTTCTATTCCCGTTCTTTCATCGTTTTTTTATTTTAGAAACGATACAGATACCCTCCATTATGCTTGATCCGCAGAAGCCGGGACAGTCGGCCGCGACGAATGAGGCTCCGGGGATTGCCGCTCGCTGTTCTGCCAACACAACAACAAGGCCGCTTCACGAGTCTAATTCCTAAGCATCTAAGTTCACTAAGAGACTAACTTAGGAGAAGCAATGGAACCGCCGGCATTGAATCCCGCGTACCACGCGCTGAATCAACGCACGCGGAACGCAAACCGAGAAAAATAAAATTTCAGCGAGAACGGGTTGTTGTAAAAGATACACGGAAATTGACTTGCTTGTACTTCGATTATTTCATAAATCAAACGTGTTCACAGTCACATTTGATGTTTTCCAAGATGGATGTCGATTTTGCGAACCCTGTACATATTTCAACGACAATTTAACAATTCGACTGTGAGAGACTTGCACGTTTATCACCGTCGAGCAAACGTGGCGATGCGGAAAATTGATGTGGACGACTGTCGTTTCATGATCATTCGGAGTCGAACGGAGAGAAATCCGTGTCGACGACGGCGATAGTGTGGAACGGGACGATCGATCATTGATCAATCGGTTTTGCTGATCTCGTTTCAACATGATCAGCATTTAATCTGATTAAACGTAACGCACACGATAATATGACAAAACGCTAAGCGTTGCAACACCATTTAAGTCCGATCGTATGTGATACGTTGCATATTCTGCATGGTGTAATGGATACTTTGTTAATCGATTTAGCGCCGATTAGCCGATAATTAATTTGTATAAGTTGATTCAAGATACTAATTATGTTACAGATGTTAAATTGTACGACATTACTGAAATGTGTTCTGCATAGCGGTCGCATACCGCTTGTGACACATCAAAACGCGAGAATACATTATTTCGAGCTCAAGGACTTTCATGTCAGGATTTTCATGTTAATCCCACGTTTTGTATTTACGTTCCACTCGATTCTTGTAAAATGAGGATCTTTTTTTTTTAAATTCAACACTCGCAAAACTAGAGCCTACTTTAAACGATCTATAATTCCCATCAGAATTGAAGATAAGAGTTCTACGTATAATTTTATATGCCGCGTATTAATATATGTGCATAATTTAATACATTTATGTGTGCATTTTAATTCTTCAAATGGTTTTTGAATTACAGCGCATAAATTTATAAACAGAATTCTATTCTGAATTCTGAATTGTAGATCGTCTAAATCAGGCATGCGAAGAATATGCTTTGTATCCATTACATCTCCGCAAATATGTTTCTGTCTCCATAATCTGTAATTAAATTAAATGAATATCTTTGACTTACTTAACGCCGAAACATTTTGCAAAGCCGATCGAGATTCAATTGTAGGACATGTTAATTCCAGGATTGGTAATGTCCGTTTCCGGATTCAACGCCCACGAAATTTACGACGCCATGAGGGAGATACCGTTGCATAACGAACAACTGCACAATGACAGACGGGGTGTTCGTATAACACCCTGTTTGCATCTAAATGGTATACAAGAATTTGAATCCGACTTACGCGAGATGAAGAATGCTCGATCCGTATCGCAGACCAAACTATCAATCCCTCAGTATCGGGCTCGAAAGTATCAATACCTCAGTATCGATGTGCCGATACTGTAATTTCTGGTAAACTGGTCCAAAACCTGTAACCCGCAAAATGTCGCGCACTACCGCCCTCTGAAGAAGTGGATGTTAACTACATAATAATGTCCATCTTTTTGCTGTGCTCCTGGTGGAAATAGGCGGCCCGGTCTCTCCAACTCCGATTAAATTAATCGGCCGATTAAATATTGCCAACTGCAAGATTTAAAAACATCTTTTTTCTGGCGAAGCGCCAAGAACTTACGTGCTTGACTCGCATGGCTTTTTTGCATTTGAGAAATTTGCCATTAATATGGACCTGTGCTATTATTGTCACATCATTCTTCATAATTGCCAAAAAATTAGATTATGTTTTCAGTCTTGCAATTGACAATACTGAAATTTAATCGACCGATTAACTTAATCGTAGAGTCCTAGATTTATCAGAGAGGCGCAACCGGTGTTATGTATTCTGATTCGCTGTTGCAATCATGACTTGACAACCATTTATAATACTAGTAACATATTTCTATTTCATTTTATCCTATACATTCTATCTCACTCTATCTCATTCTTGCTCTTGAACAGCATCCATGCTGACAAATTGTGTGTGCTGACTAAATTACTGATATTATACAGAAAGCCTGATTACTTATTCGTTAACAGTAGATATATATGCTTCATAATTATCACTTTTTTCAATGGTCTTGAATGTAAGAACATAATACTGCAATCGTACCTGCAATTATACAATATCTTATCTTCAAACATTTCTGTTTTAATTTCCAAACAAGCAATCACAAATGACTTTAAAATTACTTCATTTTAAACAGTTGGAATACTCCATAGATTAAAAAAACCATATGAAATTCTTTTACGTATCATACAGAATTATTTATCTGAGTAATGCAATATTTTTTTTAATTTCAGGAATAATTTTATCGAGAATCTTTACCATCGAGTAAAGTTTTACTCCGTTAATAGCAGTGCAAATTAAGAAGTTATGGTGATACGCAAAAGCGATTATAATGACAATTAATCAACTGACTTATTAATACATAAATATTCCCTCTAAAGAATTGATACGATTCACTTAAATATAATTTTATATTACTTTGTCTTATCTTGTTTGACAGTTTAAAGGCAGTTTCATAGCATGTCAACCATGTTTAATACTCTTCCTAGTACCTTTGTTATACTGACTTAAGCCGGTTGCGCCTCTCTGATAAATCTAGGACTCTACTTAATCGGAGTTGGTGAGATCGAGCCATAGATAATTGAAATCATTAAAATAACTAAAATCTATCAAATGAATAGAGATTTCAATGATTACATTCAGTACTATGTACAACCACTCACTGAGCGGTTGTAGTACTGAATGCACCCAATGATTTCAGCGATTTATTTCCATCAGGAGCACCACAAAAAGGTGGATATTATTGTGCAGTTAACATCCACTTCTTCAGAGGGCGGTAATGCGCGGCAGCATTTTGCGGTTATAGATTTTGGACTGTCAGTTTCCACTTGTTCGGATATCTTTTAAACAGGTTTTGCAAGTCTCTTCTATCATAGTCGTATCTTTTATAAAATATTGCCACAATGGGCTTCTTTTTGCGGACATTCTATGACTAGATTTCCACCGAGGGTTAGAGTTGAGTCAGAGTACAAGAACTGACCAATCACAGTCGAGTATTCCCCTGTTACAGTCGAAAGACAGGGGAATCAATGTTGCCAGTATTTTAAAAAATAATGTCGCCTAATTCATGGCTCGTGGTAGCCCAAATCGCCTAATTCATGGCTCTTAGTAGTTGGTAGCCCAAATTATCTAAATTTTCTAGATTTTCTAGATTCTCTAGAGTTATATTTCGATATTCACTGCTAATACTGAAAATCTATAATATACATATATTATAGATTTTTAGTACTGGCAGCGAATATCAGAACATAGCTAGATGTTTTGCACTCTCACCACAGAACTAGAAGCAGTCTGCTAGAAGTCTCCAAAGTCAATTTCAGATCTCGATGGGTGCATTCAGAACGACAACGGCTGATTGAGTGTCCAGTGAGCTCTTTCATTTGATTGGTCTATATTTTAGGATCTAACAGAATATGCCAATCAGAAGAAAGAACTCATTGCGCCCGCCCGGCTCAGTGAGTAGTTCTGAATACACTAGTATAAAATTATATTTTTCGAGATTGCCGTACTAAAAGTAATTTTTTACAAAATAAATAGAGATAGCCCAATTCGCCTGTTATTATTAGTAGCCCAAAAAGTCACAAATCGCAAATTTCGAATTTCAGTCGCAAATCGGTCTTTAAAGTAGCCCAATTTGCGATAAATCGTCCATACTGGCAACACTGAGGGGAATGTTCGACCTTCTTATCTCTGACCCAACTCTAACCCTCGGTGGAAACTTGGTCTATGTTAGGAAATACAAATAACAAAAGTGATGAAACCGAGAGTAGAGAAATTGACAAAAGTTCACATAAGCAAATCGGCCGCGAGGGTTGACAATCTCAAGATGGTCGCTTCGATACTCCCCAAAACTATCGATACGTCGATATATCGAACCCCCATAACAAAATATTGGATATCGGACAAAAGTATCGATACTCATTATATCGATCCGGTATCGTGCATTCCTAGTTCCAATAATGTGTATTATATTTCTCGATGAATGCGACGCGCTCTTTCGAAAATACGTAAACCAACGGGTGGGAAAGGGGGGGGGGGGGGGGGGGGTAAAGTAAGCATAATTATTGAGCTAACGGCGATTCTCTCGCGAGGTGCTAATATCCCGTCGATATTGGAATGTTCGAGCATTAATTTATGACATTCATTGAAATCAGAGCAAATGTAACACGTTTACTACACTTGTCTGCAGATTTGCCTGTACTACATGAAACTTCGAAGGTAGATATCAATATAAATAATTTGTAACATTTATGACATTTGTGGACATAGGTTTTTTAAATTTTTTATAATAATTTCTGTTTTAATAATTTAATAATTTCTGTCTTCTCTAATAATTCGATGAAAGTAATGTCTTAATTGTAAATAACAATCATTTTAAGATACGTCTGACTGGATAGTGTCTTTCTTATTCATGAAATTTCTTTGGTTTTACACTGCGTACGCGGCTTTATTGTATCTTAAGTACGTTTACACAATTCAATATATGCCGAAATTATAACATTGATGTTATGAAACTGGCCAATCACAATCATTCCATTCTTCAGAGGAACAGCTATGATTGGTCATCTAACATAATTATTTCATCGATGTTATCTTCGGCGTAAATCGAGCCGTGTAAACGTAGTCTTTATTGTGCGACAGCTTAGTAGATCGCAAATCGCGCGATTCAAGGACGAATGTCGTAAATGAGATTATACCGGCTACCTGTTGATCCATATTACAGTCTGAAGGAGCCATCAGTTTTTAGGATGTCATAACGTCCAGTGGGAATGCAAGCTGAACTTTCACGATTGGCGTAAAGACTTCGAGATTGATCGAAGTATCTCAGAATCTACAATATATACCGGCATCAATATAAAAATCTACGAAGGGTTTAGCAAAAGGTTTTCCTATATTTGAAGGAATTTAAAAAAATCAATTTTAAAAAAAGATAAGATTTATTTATCTTCTCTCGTTTTTCAAAAGACGAGACCATTTTTGCATTTAACTGTTGTGCGGTTATCGATATGAACGAAAATCGATATGAACGTAAAACAGTTGAAGAGACGATATTGTTGTAAAAATATATAAAGGGTTCAATAATCTCATCCACTTTTGGAAAGATTGCGATAACTTGAGAAAGTCAGATTTCCAGAATTCTTTCGTGTTTCTTGGAAAGCGTAATTGTTGTTAAGGAGATAAGAAGTCCGGTCATATCTTATAAGAAATAACGTAACACTCGAGAAATATATTCTCGCGTGGCAAAGTTTGTCGGTAACTTTGCAAGGAAGAATTTGCGAGCTATGTTTATTATAACTTTATAACTGAAAATTACACAAAAGGGTTCTTTGTATAGTTAATTTTCGAGATAATCAGTTTCCCTATACTTATACCGTGTATTATTTGTCCAAAAATATAATATGTGTACTTATTTAGATTAAACGTCACACGATATTTCGATACCTCGTTATATTAGTAATTTGATATGCTCACGGAAAGAATGATTTTCTTGAAAGATCTAAAATTTTGCTAGATACAGATCTGAAAATAATTTTGTTGGACCATCAAACTAATTTTGTTGAAAACTCAAATCGATTGTTAAAATATCAAAATTTTTTTCAATATGCTCATAAATTTTAGTTTCTAATATAATTATCTTGATAGTCAATAAAATTATTTTTAGATTGTATATCCAGCAAAATTTTAGAACTTTCAAAATCTTTACGTATACAAATTCTCTCGTCAATAATTCTTGGTCCAAGTAGAAAGTCCGGAAGAAGGCACGATGTATCGACTGTCTCTTAAGTTTCGTCATGACGAGATCGGGCGCGCGTACGAGCGTAAGACGCGCACGTGGTACGATAAAAAGAAAAAAAGAAGAAAAACGGAAGAGGATAACGAGGAGCAAAAGTAGTGTTGTACATGTTCGGTAGAGATTATGTCACTCACTCAATGTTGGTCTCCGGCGTGGGCAGATCACCAATGGTCGTCAGTGTCAGGGTGGACCAGTAAACAGAGCCGAGATACCTCCTGGTCAGGCTAGAATACTCGCCGGGCCGATATGGGTATACCCAGTCACCTTGGAAGTCCTCGTACTCGCTCAGCATGTAGTAAAAGCAGCCGAACCAGTGCGCCAGTAGGAGCAGTATGTGAATGAGATTCACCACGCGCCAGACATTCGGATAAACCGTGCGTGACTCCATTATGTAGTAAAAATTGTACAGCCGGTAGATTTTGAAGAACCTGAGAAATCTTAGCATGGGATTGAAGCCGAATTTTATCTGGAGCAGATCGAGCGGCAACAATGCCGTCAAATCCATGACGAAGGACCTGGATCTAAAGTAGTGACGGGCGAGCTTCCGACTATTGTAAACCATTAGGCCCTGCTTCAAGTAACCGGTGCGAAACTGCACCACCACATCCAGCAGAAACACGAGATCGGTAAAGCAGTCGCAGGCGAGCCAAGTACCGGGCGCCAGCCCCTGCAGCTCCATTAGAGTCTGACGGACGATCAGCGCCCAGAGATTGTAAAGGACGCAGGCCGACACCAGCATCAGCCAATAAAAATAGAAACTTTTATCGGGGTTGACCACGGTTTTGGACGTTTTCCGAAGTCTACGGTGTCGCCTGCGCCGCAGGCTACCCGTCCTGTTGGTCGCATTCTCCTCTTCGCCGTCGGCGATATCAAGGGTCTCTTGATTCTCTGGTACCTGCCGAGGGGAGAACCTTCTCATGAATGAATCTTCACGTTTCAGCGGCGGCTTCTTCGGAATCGCCGAGGTTAGCTGCACGGTTGTACGTAGTTTCATCCACCGTTGATTGCTCCTCGCTCTGCGGGCAGAAAGTTAAATAGGTCACCAGTCAAGGATAAAAGAGAAAATAGCACATAAGTCCCGCAGATATTTTTCACGCTCAATCGACCCAATCCCTGTCAATTTAGCTTTATCCATAACACTAATCTCATAAGCTTGAAAAATTTTCGAATTTACAACCAGTATAGACGACATGCACACGGCGAGTCCATTTTTGTGACTCGTCACTCTTTTAATCGTATCGTCGTTGTCTTTTATCCGATAAATAATAAAATGATTAAATCAATATCATTCGCAATTTCATTTACTTTCATAAGATACACTCCGTAAACCGGTATAAAGGCAGCCGTTAAAAATAATACGAACGAGACTATGACATCTGTTGAACGAGTAAAACCATCTTAACTCTATGCGTTCTAAAATCTAGCTATAGACGTCATGTAAACTATAAAGTCTTACTACAGATAGTTCAGAACGCCGTTCTGGTGGACGTAAGAGGAATACAAGAGAAAATTCAATAATAAAAATACTAATTCCGTCGTATATGTTCGTTGGATCAAATAAAGTTGTTTAAATTAATGCATAAATTTTACGATCTAAGTAAACATTAACATTCGGTGAGAAAAAATCGACCCGGTGAAAATAAAACGCCCTTACAAATATTATAAGTACGTAAGCATTCGTCTGGAATATTTCTGATGTACTTAATTAAATATACTTTTCTTGTCGTAGGGAGAGGAAGATTCAATAAAATTATGCAGTGTAAAAGCAGAATTTGTATTATTTAAATGTTGACGCTATGCATTTTTCATTTGCGGCGACAAATTTACGTCAGGCGCTTATTAGATTTAATCGTAAGCATTGAATTATTCTATGAATTAGCCTCCTAGAAATAATTCCTAGAAATAACCTATGAATTATCAGGCAATCTGTACGCGAAAAGATAAAGTTAAACATAATAGGTCAAACATGATAGGTAAATGAAAAAAGTGTTTTCAATGCGCGATACAAAACGCTATTGAAGAAACGTCATACCTTTCCTATCGATCGAAATTCTATATCACAACAATCTTATTTTTCCATTCCTTCATTGCGTAGGAGAGGAACCGATAAGCACCGATTGTCGATGCTCAATAAATAATAACACGTCTCTCGCGTGTATCTGCGAATATTAAGTGAACCACGCGATATATGAGTATCGTCCAGTAGGAACGTACTTTAAAAATTAATTTATCCGGACGGAAATAGTTTGTTTCTATGATGCGTATCGGATTTATGAAGGCAATAACGGGTAAAATCGTTTAGCATCTGAATAAAAAGAGTAGATCAATGAGCAAGTTAATATTTGTTGCTTTTCACATCGTATTTTCTCTTCAAATGTAACTATATAACTAATTCTCTTCAAACGTAACAAAAAAATATTATATTCTTATTACTGTATATCACTTATTGCTGTACATCGCAATTTACTGATTATATATTTCAGAACCTTTGAATTTTTATTTATAAAGAAATGTCACTGCAAACATAGAAATGCAAATGAAATAGAACTGCAAAAATAATCACTGCAATTTTGCTTTCAATATTTTATTTTATACACGGAGAGAATTTTTTCTTAGTTAACATTTGTCGCTTTTCACATCGTATTTTCTCTTCAAATGTAACTATATAACTAATTCTCTTCAAACGTAACAAAAAAATATTATATTCTTATTACTGTATATCACTTATTGCTGTACATCGCAATTTACTAATTATATATTGTATTTCAGAACCTTTGAATTTTTATTTATAAAGAAATGTCACTGCAAACATAGAAATGCAAATGAAATAGAACTGCAAAAATAATCATTGCAATTTTGCTTTCAATACTTTACTTTATACACGGAGAGAATTTTTTCTTTGAATTTACCCTGAAAATATGACAAGCGTGGGACAACATTGTATTTCGAAGAATTTTAATGTAAATCTCTCTCATTCATTAATAAAACTACAATGAAGTATAAAATAAATTTGATCAATTTTACTGTATGGTAAAAATGTATGGTAAAAATGTATGGAAATGTATGGTAAAAATCTTTAAAATATTGTATTGTACCACAACTACCATATTTTCAGGGTAAATTTGAAAAGAAAATTCTCTCCGTATAGAAGAAAATTGAATGTAAATCAATTCCCCGTTAATCACGCTTTTAAATATATATGTTCTCTGCAACTGATAATTATATTATACTCTCCAACATATTTTTACCTTTATTATCTTTCGCAATAATTTACAAGTAAATGAAAATAAATATACCGTTTGATAACAACAGAAAATACCTTCAAATTGAAAATAAACGTAAAAGTAACTATTCCATCGCAAATAAATTTAGAGCAGATATGTCAACAAAAATATAAAGGTGTTTTCAATTTGCGTGATAAATAACGCTGTTGCAGAAACACCATACCTTTTCTATACAAAAATATAATAATACGTACTCGATCAATTTATCAAAATTTCAAGTCTATGAAAAAACTATTTTAAATCTCGTGTTTATAAAAACTGATTAATTAGAAAATGTCGTGATTTTCAGAATCGGAGTCATTCTTAGAGAAGACATGCAATATTATTGACGAATGCATCCAATTCCCATTTGAGCAAATCTAAATTAACCGCGTCTATTGTCGCAACTTGTTTGCAACTAATGGACACGATCAATCCGTTCGCGTTGAAGAGCGATGACAAATTCGCATTTAGTTCGATATTTGATGAAACACGCCAGTCTTGCGCGTCGTAGTCACGCGTATGTCATCGTACGCGTGCATATCGCTCCGAAAAAAATACGATCGCACGACGCACGTGATTTTTAATCGGGATTCTGCGTGACTGCGAACGACACCGAGTTCCTCGCAAATTTCACGCATGTATGAGCTTCTCTGCGCGACGTCACGCAGAAATCGCGTAGAAAATACATCACAAGACGCATCGTTCCGCAGTTTTCGCTATGATCTATTTATCTAGCAAACACACACGAAGGTATATAGGTATATAAGACCTACTATTCGTTCCATTCTTCAAACCCAGTGAAACGAAAGAAACACATCATTCTCTTTTTCTTTTCTTTTCAGGAAAATCGAATACATTCGTTGTATTCTCTAAGTTCTATGTAAGATAGATAGTTCTTGCTTGAAATAAGAAATGAGCGGAAATCGAAATTCAGATCAGTTAGCTAGAGTGTGAGATGGATAGGAGGCAGATAGACAGACAGACTGACAAACAAACAAACAGACAGACGAACAAAAGATAGACAAACAGAGATAGAAACAAAGACACTGAAAAATCGTATACGTTAAATACAGACAGTAATGAAACTAAAGATCGTTATATTACACTACTATGCACTCTTGAATCGTTAATGTAACATTCATGTACAGTGTTCTGTCGTAAAGGTAAGTATAATGTCGTCGTGCGTGTAATAACTTTAAACTAGAACAGCATGATTTTTCAGATTTATTTTCATCTCTGCTTGTTTTCGAGTAACATTTTCAACAATTTGTAAAATGATAAAATTCATCATGCGTAAATATTTTGTTTTATTGTGTGTTCTCGATTACTCAATATAATAAATATAAATATGAGCAGGATAAATAGTCTTTAGCAAGATCTATTAAATCAAGATATGGTATTCGACGAACATTTAAAGTCGATTGTTTTCTCCGAAAACAAAGACTCGCATAAAACAAAATTTAATTCGTTTTTTACTTACTCTTTCCTGGTTCACAATTTCCGCAATACTTGGGTGTCTGTGCGCGCGCGCGCGCGCGCGTGTGTGTGTGTGTGTGTGTGTGTGTGTGTGTCGGAATGTATTTTAAAGTGATTATTATCGAGTTAGAATAACCGTCTTATTTATGAAAATTTAAATGTTAACTGAAATTCACAGAAAAGTATCCTAAAAAGAAAGAGTCTATCAGAATATCATTAGGAGATGAGTAACTTTCAATCGATATTTATCGACAGCTTTCAATAAGAAAAGAGAAAATAAAATTAAAGCATTTGAGATTTCGAGGTGTGAACGATGGTTAACAATTCACAGATACCAGTATTGGTAACGTAAAACGATTACTGCGCAGGATAGCTCGTTCTAAATCGTACATGATGCTAATAGGGGAGGATATTTCATTCGCGGCGTAGATTAACCAAGATCAGTCGCTCGTCTGGAAAAAATGAGCCGTGTTATCGATACATGTGTATCAATCAGAGCGCTAAATGCACAAACTCTGCTCTTTCAGTATCATATGAATTGTTCGATTTCTCTCGCGGTCAGGTGCTTCTTACATCGCCAACAATTTTCGTTCATTTAAATTCCATATTAATGATTTATTACCCAGAAACTTGCACGGTAATTGAGATACCTCGTTGTCCACGAGTAAGAGTATCCGCAAAAGTTCGTGAATTTTACTTGCAAATTGCGGGTAATAAGCGAATCGTTAATCAGCGAATAAAGCCGCCGAACAGACGATCAAGTTCGTGAGATTATTAATGTCTGAAATTTCAAAATATCGTTGAATATCAGAGAATAGATACGGCGGTCACCTGTCAGCTAATCTAATACAGGGTAGAACACGAGTCGTACAGTAATTTGAGTACAGTAATAGAGTAGGAGAGAGCGGAGAGTGTGGTGAAAGAGATAGGATAGAGTTGCAGTGAGACGAGAGAGAGGTAGTCAGTACTTTTGTGCGATTTCTTGTTGAATGCAGGGTGACGTTCACGAGGTAAAACGATCGGATCACTCGAGCCCTTTACTCAAGACTTACCCAAGTCTCCATCATTTTAAAATGTTAACGCTGATGTACTTTAGGACAATATTAAATTGTAAATTCGAAACCGTACGTCGATAACATAATTATACAAAAATAGACCTTTTTTGGAACCTGAATAAACAAAGCGTTTTTCGATGTAGGACGAAACTGGCCTTGGAATTGGCCTAACACATCAGGTTTTCAAAAAAATTAAGGTTAAATGTGCCCAAATTGGCGTTTTTGGCATATTTATCATTTTTTTGTGGCTAAAATAAATTTTTTTTTCAATTTTATTTACGCCACTTTAAAGTGCTATCTTTTACCTATAAAATAAATTTATATTTATTGTGGTACGATTTTTTTTCATATGCATAATTAGAATATGAAGATCGCGAAGCATTCTTTGATTAGTCAATTCGTAAAATTCTTTGTTCTGATTGGTCGCTCAAACGTTTCGAAGCGTTTGTAGCGTCAAGTGGACCGCAGCCATAAAGTGCTATCTTTTACCTATAAAATAAATTTATATTCATTATGGTACGATTTTTTTCATATGCATAATTAGCATGTGAAGATTGCGGCATTGCTATTGCGCACACAAGTCACCTAAACCCCTTCTAATCTCCCACTACTCGTAATATTCATGGTCGTCTGAAAACTAGGAGCTCTGCCAGCGGCGCTTTCAAATATAATTACTATTTTTCACCGAGTCATGATAGTTTTAACCCTTCTGCAGTGTAGCATTTGCAGATTTAGGTAACTTGTGTGCGCGACGGCAATTTCGCGATCTTCATATGCTAATTATGCGTATGAAAAAAAATCATACCACAATAAATATAAATTTATTTTATAGGTAAAAGATAGCACTATAAAGTGGCGTAAATAAAATTGAAAAAAAAATTTATTTTAGGTACAAAAAAATAGTAAATATGCCAAAAACGCCAATTTGAGCACATTTAACTTTAATTTTTTTCGAAAACTTGACATATTGTAAGTTTATCCAATTACAAAGCCGGATTTGTTTTCAGCGAATAAAATTACATCGGAAAACGCTTCGTTTATTCAGGTTTCTCAAAAAAATGTTGAACTGTGTAATCGATCCTCTAGAGTTTTATACACAAATGCATCGTTATTTATAAATTGCCATTTATTACTCAGTTGCACTTTATTTAACTGATGCAAGTAGTACGCACTTGTCTAGTTTATAAAATTTTATAAAATTCTATTACACTGAAATGTGTAACAAATATATAATAAATATTTGCAATTTTTTAGAAAAGCACATTTAGTTTTCATAGTTCCTCTTATGTCACTTTATGAGAATGTCACCTTGTTACTAAATTTATCCTGAATCGGAATTTCCGTGAATTTTTTAAGGCTACAAAGTCGATAATCTTGTACGCGAACCCATACCATTGCCTTTGAATTTAATAAAGCGCGATGCTTATTTCCACATAAAATTTATTGCAGTTCGTACATTTACTTAGCGGAAGTTCTATGTCCTCGTAAATTTTACGTCCCTTCGTTTTACATCGGTGATCAGTTGTGATATAGTGTGGATATAGTGATGGAAATAATATCAAATCTCAGTTACTTATACGTGCGCGGGTCGAGAGACATTCTTGAATAATTCACTCGTTGTTGAAAATCCGCAAAATGCTTCTAAAACTCATCTCGAGAGCCGAAACGTGGTTCTAAAAATCGAAATCCCTCAGAGAATTCAAATAGATTCGAAAATCTATCGTGTACACGGAATGAATAATTGACAAGATGCAAACGGCGGCGTGCTGCGAGGTCTCTGTTATTTTTAACAAAAACCGCTTCCGAGAATTTCAAAAAAGAGACTTTTAAAACTACATGTAAATTAGTAACATTTTCTAGACAACTAAGTAATTTTGCAAACAATTTAAATAATCCGTAATTTACCACAAATAATTTGGAATACAAAATAACAATCGTAAAGTTTTGAATATAAATACGATCATGTTATTTATTCTTATAAAAGTCAAACTATAAAATTTAGAATCTTTTCGATCCACGTTTCTGATTAACATTAGAACCGCCGATGGTATCCCGATAGAATTATCCAAGATGCCAATTTGATAATTTCCTATCTTTGTTTTCAGTTAATAAAGAATTATTTTGATATTATATCATTTGTATCATTAGATTATTTGTATTATATTCACATATTTTCAATATTTTATATTATATATATTTATAATACAAGAACAAAATTGGAACGATTAACGGAGCCAAAATGGCACCATGGATGGTTCTAGTGTTAATTACCTAACCGCGAATTAAAGTTTCATTTAAAAAAGAAATAATAATTATTGCATTATGGATAATTGTCATTTTGGATGATAAAGAACTGTACGAAACGTGTAACGTCTTCAAAAATGAAGTTCCAAAAGCACATGGGAGTTGACTACAAATGAATGCTTCAAGGTACCGTGCCGAGTTCCCAATACAATTTGTGAGAATTTGGCGTATGTGTGTATATACATGTGTGTGTTAGCGTGTCTTGTGTGCAGATGACAGTACCAGAGGTTACCATCCATATCGATTAATGACGGGAGTACCTCTTGATTTTGCGTAGAGAAGAATATAACTCCATGACTGCGCGTACGTTACTTCATTTTTGCGAGCCCCTCGTGCTACGAGGCCTGTTGGCTACTGCAAGTATCTCTGCATCGATGGCGTTGCTCTCCAGTGATTCTGAAGTGGTTGAGGTAGCGGCGATCTCAACATCGACCGACCTCCTCGCGAAGGCTTGTCGATGGCCCGAGATTGCGCAGCGACGGTAGATCTCCGATGACCTGTGAAGAAGACAGAACCCACACGGGTTGCCTCTCCCTCCCGCACACCCTCTTTTGCACTGTCTGTATCCCTCGCATATGCATATACTGATACACATATTCGCGACCTTGTTCGCGATCTTATCTCTTCTCTCATAGCAGCTCCTTTTACACTTTCTTCGAGACACATTTGCCTTGACATGCGTTATGTATGAGTGAATGATACGATTTGCTCCGGGCGAGATGGCTTCCTTTAACTTCGGCATGATTTTTTCACGTAAATCTGTACTACGCGGAACGCGCGTCTGTTAGCTTTTCCCCGGGTCCCGAAGAAATGTTCTACTAGTACATATGAATGTGTTGTGGATAAATATTAATTCTAAAAATACTAAGATGTCAACTTGCAGTTATTGTTCTTAGAGCAAAAAGAAAAAAAGAAGAAGCAGAAAGAAAAGAAGATTAAGCTTCAAATACAAATTCTTTTAAAGTTTATTTAAAATTAGAACAGAGAGACGTTTTCGATAAAATCGACATTCTACAAACTTCCGGGTTTTCATTCAAAGTTCAAATAAAAAATGGACTTTTAATGCTTCGCATTTAAGCTACGAATCGTACATGTCGTGAACGTATTTCTCTTAACAATGATTAATTCCCGGTGCAACGTGACTTGTGATTCTCACGCCGCACTTAGTCTCGAATCGTGATTTATAACACGTTCAGAATGCCTACAGTTAACAGCGGTTTCTTAAAAAAAGCTTTGTTCATATATATCACGGAGAACGATCTCGCACGAAAGCTACGTGATACACTTATGATTTGTAACGTATACCATTGAGTACGTGAACAGGTTTCATCACTCATGTCTTCTCTCTCTCTCTCTCTCTCTCTCTCTCTCTTTCTCTCTCCAAATCAATCTCATGTTTTCTCACACAAGCGCGTACAATCACAAGCAATCTTTCATCTTTTCCTTTCTGTGTCCGTCTGCCCATCTCCATATCACATCATGAAAAACGGGCCATCCACTGAAAACTCACCGGCGAACGCAACGTGACGTTAAATTCATTTACAACCCTCTCCCTCAGTCATAAAAGAAAGATTTTGCCGTTTTCAACGACAAAGATTCGATGCCACGGTATATCCCAGCATTAATTGCTGTGACGTGTGAATTCAACACGACAAATTTACCTTTTTAAAAGAAATAATGGTATCTCTCTAATTAAATAAATAAAAAAAATTTTAATATCACTGTAATCAAAGTATTCAAACTTTATTTTTTTAAAATCGCGGGAAAACTGTAAATAAAATCCGTTCACTTTGCTAAGTTGTGGTACGCAAGCTGTCCTTCACATTTGGTAAAAAAATCACGTTCCTTCAAACCATTTTAGAATGACAGTTGTTTATGTTAATGAAGATTTTTGTGCGCGACGACTTTTGTGCGTAGTCTTCAACGGATAGATACCCATTATCTTGACGGCAAACACCTAGACATCCACTTTCTCAACGGTGAACACTTAGACACCTAGATACCTAGACACTTAAACACCTATTTCCACAATGGCAAACATGTAGACAATACCTATAGACATAGACACCCACTTCGTCGCCGGCAAATACTTACACGGAAAAAAATTTGGAAATCATGAAATCGCGAAACATATCCAAACGCTTCCAATATGGAATTGTGACAATTGCATACTCGAAAATTTAACACAATCGCTTGTTGGGGACTCGAATCGCGCTGGAGTCGCAAACCCAATTTTTTTCCCACCCACTTTTAAACATGTCATTATACGAAACAGCTACATTATGAATATTGTTAAAGGAAATTATAATAAAAAATTAATTTTCAATATTACAAATCTCTGATTTCACTTATCCGCGTAATGCGTCGAATTAATACTTAATTATTGACCTAATATTGATCAATAAAGCCCGCGGTGCTGTTTATTCCCACTCCAAGCGCCGCCCACCGCGAGAAGCAGTGCGGTTTACGCCGTTACAGTCTAGAGATGCTTTCGGGAAGACGCTATTTGTGTCATTTTATCCTTGTTTTATGTCTAATAAATTATGATGATACAAATAGTTTGGTAGTATTGTTTCCTCTTAATTATTATAACAAGAGCTTTATTATATAAAGCTATTCCGCCAGCGGACGCTCTAACTCGAGACCCGCGAGTTAGAGTTGTTTACTCTTTTCAATCTTTTCAACTGTGAAGAAATGAATAAATGGATATTTGTTTCTATGATAAATATGTGTTCTTATTTCTCTTTCTACATATTTTATACATATTATAATAAAAAATTGCTTTTCAAACGTTTTAAAATAATTTCATTCTTCGGTCACTTTGGACCTGCGTCCGCCGTGCGTGCGACGTCCGTTGTCCGAGGGTTAAGTATACAGATAAAAAATACAAGTAATAATAGTGTTATTGACTATGTAGTAGAAAAATACAAATTATATGTTCATTATTTCTTAAATTATGAGTAAGACTCATTGTTATATGTCATGTTGCGGCGCGCGGCATTTGAAGTGGGAATAAACAGCACCGCGATTCGGACTCTGTTGATAAATTTATCATTGATTAATTATTATCCTACGAGTTATCCATTTCATTTCACTGTCGTTATATGGTGCTAATGAAACAGATAAATCGGTAAATGAGAGTCGCAATAAACGAGTGCTATCTACCGTCGAAAATATGAAAAAAGAAAAAGATTTTTTGAGACGATGACGTATCTTACATAAAAATTTGCCGAGTGCGATTTACACTATTGTGCCGAAAGTGCGGGGATACGACCGTGGAAAAATCGCCACTGTTTGAAAGACGGTGAAGAGATTCGAGCGGCCTGGGAAAACGGGAACCTGGTTTCGCGAAGTTCGGAAAAGTGGATCCTTGATCTGCCCTGAATAAATAAAGGCGAAACTTGCTGATTGTATGCCGAGGTGCCACGTGTGTTGAGAAGTCACAGAAGTCACCAAGAAGAAAAGAAAGAAGAAACAGATACGTGAGACAGACGGCGAGTAACGAGGCGCGAGTTCTTGTCGGACACAAAACTTCGACTTGGAAATTAGTTGCGTCGCCTTTTCCAATTACTCCGCGCGGCGGAATTTTAATTCCTCTTTAACATTGCAACAGAAAACACAGGCTTTTCCTTCCTCCTCTCTCTTTCTTTCTCTCTCTTTCTCTCTTTCTAAGTTTGGTGCGCATGGCGCGAAATAAGATATTTACGCTGCCCATTTTGTTCCATTATTTCTGCTACTGATAATTAATTTAAGGACTCTTCAAGTAATAATGCAATCTGCAATATTTCTTTTATAAGAACTTAACGAGAAGTTTTTTGAAAGAGAGGAATTGTTCCATATTTAATTTCAATTTGTTTACGTTAAAATGGAGATAAATGGAAAGATTTACCCAGTTTTCATCCTGTTAATTATATGTAAAAAAATATGCAAAAAAATACGCTCGCACGTCTTCCACTTCGTACTCGCCATTTGTTCCTTCAGTTTCTTCCGCAATGATGATGAAATGATAGATTTGAAAGGGATACACGACGAATTCGCATCAACAAGGGAAGAATTATCATCGGAAAGTCATATTTGATTTCGAGCGTGTCCCGTTGCCATAATTTGCGTTATATAATTCTGACAAATGCTCTGATCTGTGACGTTAGTCAACAGCAAAGGGTCTTTCCACGAAACATGTGATCAAAGTTTGGACAGCGCATACAGGGGTATTCAAGCCAAAAACTTTCGATTAGATAACCTCATCAAAGGGTATATTCAGTATATCGTGACCGTTATTTATTCCATTCGCTACTTTACAATAACTGGCCCGCTTAACTTAATCCGTAAGTTCTTCCTTTCTTGTGTAAAGCTCATAATATTACTTTGGCTCTTTGCCAAGAGAGGAACTGTTTCATCTTTACGTACTCGTACGTTCCATTAGCGCGTTGCTGCCGAGTTGTTATTTTATTGACTTTATTAATGATTCGAACTTTACCATAGCATCGCAAAGGAAAAGTCTCGACAAGTATAATAAACAAATAATCCAATCAAAAGTTTTACTGCACAATTTCCTGTAGGCACTGCCAACGCTCTGAAACAGAATCCTTTTGAGGTGCACTACATGTATAATATCGCTTAAAATCGCTTGTAGATATATAGGTCGATTTTCAGCTTACGTTCTCAACCAAATTGCTCTTTTGTGAGAGAGTGCTTACTATATCGCGACCAAGCACGCGAGATTCTTTGTCCGCTTAGATTAATATAGAAACGGATGAAGTTGAATTCGCTTTTCGCTACAGTACTCATTAAATCTAAAGCTAACGTGAGTTTTACATGCACGATCGCGTTCGATCGCAATGTTCGTCATTCCTAGAGCGGAGCTGGACAAAATATAATCGAATTAATGAGATACGATAATCTCGTGCTTTATTCAATCATCCGAGATTCGATGTTTTCTGAAAAAAAAAAGTATTCATGCAGTTTTCTCGACCTTGTAATTCTTGAGACAATAAAAAGTTAAAATATTAGACACTACAGATTTTATTCATACATAATATTCTCTTCAGATCACTTTGTATCATGGTGGAAGAATTACATGATGTGTGCAGTTCGGCCAAACCACGTCTACTTTTGCTCCGCATTGTCAATAGTAGGCTATCAATTGTGAAACGCGAAACTGGGGCGGTATTCATAGTCCGTTCTTATTTTCAAAACCGTCTTAAATAATGTCTTAAGATGCTAATACAGTCCTCAGATTGACTTATGACATCTTAAGATTGTACTTAAGACAGTCTTAAATGTAAGAATCTACTA